CGCTCGATCTCCTCGGCCCAGTGTCCCTATCCCCTAGACGGACACCCACCACTGTCCTGGCCCTCTGTAGCCCTCAGGGGACGGCAGACTGGGGTGTCTATAGAAGATCCTTTCCTATAGGTCCCGTCCGGCAGCCTGGCCACCTGAGACTGCCCGGGTCAGGAGGCCACACCAGGCTGAGCTTCCGGGGGCTGCCAAGCCAGGCATAGCGTCCGAAACCCAGGGCAACACGAGCCCTCATTTTTCTCTCCTTTCCTCCTCAGCTCTCAAAAAGTTCCAGAAAATTTCCTTACCGCGTGTTCTTGTTGGAGAAATTCCAGAATAAAGTGATAGGCTTCTCTTTCTGATTGGCGCAGTCCTGCAAGGGGATGTGGTCAGGAGGAGTCTGGCTGACCCGCTCAGGCGGAATAGGAGGGCAGAGCCACCCCACCCCGACCCTCTGTCGAGAAGGTGCAGGAAGCATCGGGGTGGGTGTGCCGGCTCCTAGAACAGGCTGCTCCAGGCCTCATGCAGACCTCAGGGGCCTGAGTGGAGAGGTAATCACGTGGGGCCGTGGTCAAGGATTTTCTGCACCCAGCACAGCCAAGGATGGAAGAGCAACTGGAAAGAGAGACCTTTAAGTCACCCGTATTGGCCATAAATTATTGGAGCTGTCCTAGAAGGGCTTTGAAACCCTGAATGGGGATGGACTGGAAACCCCCCGTCAGTCTGGGAACCTCCCTTGTCAACTGGGCTGGCATAGCCCTCCGGACAAGCCGCCCTGAGCAGGCACCCAGATGTAGACACGGAGGCTGGGGGTCGAGGCTAGAAATAGAGCCTGTCCACCGCAAAGGACATCGGAAGGGGATGAAGCGAGAGAATGGAGATGGAGGCAGCCTGGGACCTGAACAACGCGGGAGACCAGGCCCGAGTTCAGGCCGTTTCCCGTGAAGGGAGCGCCCCGGGTGTCGCTCTCTCTTAAAGGTCAAAACTCCTGAGTCCAAAGCTCAGCTCTTCCTCTTTATCAGCCCTGTGACCTTCAGCCAACGGAACGCTCTCAACGTGCGTTTCCCCGGCGTACAGTGGGAGAGATGCTAGTGTCTATCGTCGGTGTGAGGATCAAGTGAATTAATGCATGTAAGGAGAAATCTCGAGCAAATCGGGTTCCCCAAGTTTCTGTTCTGTCATCTTAACAGGGGACGATAGTCACAGCACCTGTCACTGTTACGAGGTTTCAATTCATGCATTCATGTAAACAACTGAGACTAATGCTGGCACATAGTAGGAGGGCCATGAGTTCATTCCTCGGCATGCGTGCACCGGGCACCTGCTACATGAAAGGCACCCTCCCAGGCAGAGCTTACAGGGTCGCACCTATACAGCGCGGGGGTGCTTCATGGGAACTGCTGTGAGGTATCCTTCTGAAGGAAGTCTTTTTGCATTTGCGCATATAAGTTTGTATATCTACACACAGGGCAGGTAGAGAAAATCTCATTGCCTGCATTGGCGTGGTCCTGAAGGACGTGAGGAGCAAGCCATACAGACATCCAGGGAACGCAGCCTAGAACAAAGGGCAGCTGACGCAAAGGCCCTGAGGAAGCCACGCCTGGCATGCTCATGGAACAGCAAGGGGGCCTGTGTGCCTGGAGTGGAGGAGCGAGGAGAGCGAGGGGAGACGAAACCAGAGCGGCAATGGGACAGGTCGCGAGGGCCTTATGAAGCCTGTTGTGAGGACTGTTGTAGGGCCTGTTGTGAGGCCTATTGTAGGGACTGTTGTAGGGCCTGTTGTGAGGCCTGTTGTAGGGACTGTTGTAGGGTCTGTTGTGAGGACTGTTGTAGGGTCTGTTGTGAGGCCTGTTGTAGGGACTGTTGTGAGGCCTGTTGTAGGGACTGTTGTAGGGTCTGTTGTGAGGCCTGTTGTAGGGACTGTTGTGAGGACTGTTGTAGGGTCTGTTGTGAGGCCTGTTGTGAGGCCTGTTGTAGGGTCTGTTGTGAGGCCTGTTGTAGGGACTGTTGTGAGGACTGTTGTAGGGTCTGTTGTGAGGCCTGTTGTGAGGCCTGTTGTAGGGTCTGTTGTGAGGCCTGTTGTAGGGACTGTTGTGAGGCCTGTTGTAGGGTCTGTTGTGAGGCCTGTTGTAGGGACTGTTGTAGGGACTGTTGTAGGGACTGTTGTAGGGACTGTTGTGAGGTCTGTTGTAGGGTCTGTTGTGAGGCCTGTTGTGAGGCCTGTTGTGAGGCCTGTTGTAGGGTCTATTGTGAGGCCTGTTGTAGGGACTGTTGTGAGGCCTGTTGTGAGGCCTGTTGTGAGGCCTGTTGTAGGGTCTGTTGTGAGGCCTGTTGTAGGGACTGTTGTAGGGTCTGTTGTGAGGCCTGTTGTAGGGTCTGTTGTGAGGTCTGTTGTGAGGCCTGTTGTAAGGTCTGTTGTGAGGCCTGTTGTAGGGCCTGTTGTGAGGCCTGTTGTGAGGCCTGTTGTAGGGTCTGTTGTGAGGCCTGTTGTAAGGTCTGTTGTGAGGCCTGTTGTAGGGTCTGTTGTGAGGCCTGTTGTAAGGTCTATTGTGAGGCCTGTTGTAGGGCCTGTTGTGAGGCCTGTTGTAGAGACTGTCATAAGGATTATTGTTGTGACTTTGGCTTTTGCTCTGAATGGATGGGAGCCCCAGGCTGGGTTCAAGCAGGTGGCCTGGTCTGACTTTCGTTTTACAAGGTCACCTGGCTGCTCAGTTAGGCGGAGACGGGGTGGAAGTGGAGGGTCCTGTGATCATAATCTGGGGGCTTATACTGGGGAGGGAGGAGCGAGTGGTCACATTCAGCAGCTGTTTTGAAGGCAGAGACAACAGGAATCGCCACGGACTAGATGTGAGTATGAGAGAAAGACCGAAGTCAAGCTCTTGGGCCTGAGAAACCAGAAGGATCCAGTTGCATTGACCGAGATGGGAGTCCAGGCAGGAGTGCCGTTTGGAACGGGTTAAAGTTGAGATGTCTACTAGCCATCAAAAGGCAGTTGGATTTAAGGTCTGGAATTCAGGGACAGGATCAGGAACACAGAGACCAATCCGGGAGTTGGAGCTGTAGAGAAGGCTTCTAAACATCGGCTCGGGCTCTCCTGAGCAGCTGTCTGGTGGCTGAGGTCCAACTCACAGCGCCAGACAACGTCCCGTTCCCCGCCCAGCTCCAGGCTCCTCATCGAGGCAGGTCTGAAGAGGGACAGGGACCCAGAGCCCAGAGCTGTGAAGGGGGCGGCCAGAAGTGGGCACACTCGTGCCTGTTAAGTGACATCTCGGGCAAGGGCTGAGCAACCACCATCACCCCCGAGCCACTGCAGCCAGTCAGGACACAGCCCGGTCCAGGGCCAAATGCTCACCTGCTAAGTTGGGCGTCCAAGAGACATGCATAGTCGATGGTGCGAAGGTTACTCTTTTTCTGTTTTGCTCGTCAGAAGGGGGATTCATCTTCGAATTCGGGGCAGCAGCCAGCAGCTGGTGACGAGAGCAGGAGCCAGGCCAGGCGCAAGATGCTCCTACCTAGGAACGCAGTGTCTCCACTCGGGGGCGAAGCTGCAGGAGGCAGACTCTGGCCATTTACGAGAGAAGGCATCGGCTGAGTACTGCTGGTGCTGGGTCCTACTTTCAATCTCCCTTCCCCCCATGGGAGGACACAGCACCCTCCAAAGGGCCCTGCTTCATCCTCCCTTCCCAGGAGTCTTCCACTCCGGGCTCTTTCCTGAAATTCCAGACTCAGAGGCGGCCTCCCAGATTGTGGTGTCCATCCTTCTGCCTCTGGGAGTCTTGCTGGGAAAATCCTAAAGCCTCCTTGTGCTTATGGGGGCTTCTGCCCCCACTCTGCCTGATGGTAGGAGAGCTAAGAGCCCCCAAGTGTCTGCCCTTCCTGGAAGCAGCCCAGGGAAGCCTGCTGTGGACCAGGAGAAACTACGGCCAGCCCCACCCGGTTATCTCACTGCCCTGCTCTTCGGGTCCCCAAACTGGTGCACCCCATTGCTCACTGCTCTTAGAAGAGCCTCTGCTGCACCCCACACTCCCAGTCTTCTTTTGTGTCCCCCTCCTGTTAGCTGGTCTCGTCTGTCCTATCGCTGGGGAGCTGGCTCCTCCGCAGGTGGTCCCCCCAGAAACTCCTTGGACCCGACTCAGCACAACTGTCTGACCTACAATCGCAGATAAACGACATTATCCGCCATCCAGCAAGGCTGAGGATGTGGACGCCTGAGACCAGGATGCCCACAACCCCTCCAGGGAGCCCTGCAGTCGTCTCCCCTCCCACGGTCCCTAGGGCAGGGCTGGACCCGCCCCCACCCTCGGTCCCCTGCCTTGCCCTCACGTCCTGCCCCTTCCTTTGCCCCACCTGCCTGTCCCCCTCTACCTGACACGCTGGGCGCCTCAGATCTGGGGCACACGCTTCTCCTGGGCATCGTGGCTCCAGGGGGCGCTGTGCCGGGCATCCTGGAGCGGCCCCTGCAGGGCGGGAGGAACGAGGTCCCAGCGGGGGATCCCACCCCCACCCCGTGGTCTCCGGGGGGAGAGAGGGGCTGTGGGCAATCTTGTCCGGAGATGGGGGACAGGCCTCGCGGGGAGTCCCTCCGCGTCACCACTCCTAAAGAAGCCCCCCAGTGGTCCAGCTTTGGAGAGGGGGCTGTTTCTCATGAGCGCCTCCACTCTGGGCAGCAGGAGCTCCTGGATGGTGGAGACTCAGCCACGCTCTTCACTGACCCCTGTCTAGCCTGGTCCAGCAGAGGCCAGACCTCCCGAGGCTGCCAGAGTCCCCTGTCCTTGGGGAAGTGACTCCCAGAGCCCAGCTCCTCACACCCAGGAGACCTATGGAACTTTGACAGAGGGTGTACCCGCTTCCATCCTGCCAGGGAGGCAGAGGACACGTCTACCACCCCACGCATCCCATCTGCTCCCCAGGGACCTGGCCAGACCAGCCGGAGGCGCCAGGCAACTCTGCCCCCTGGGCGGGCATCCCGAGGGCTGCGCAGAGCCCCCGCTCAGAAAACTCGGCACAAAAGAACCTTCATCATCAACTCGGCCACTCGCCAAGAGCAGACTTTATTGTAGGATTTGGCACTAAACCCACACAATTCCAGCCCCACAGCCGAGCACGCAGCCACTTTGCAACTGCACCAGGCATCGATTAGGGCCAATAAGTTAACACAGAGGACGCTCAGGTGTGTAGGGGGTGCTCCAATGTCTCCCGGCTCAGTCCAAGGAGTTCTGGGCTCCCAGGGGGACACGGGGAGGGGTGATGGCTGCACACGGGGGAAGGGGCTCGGAGACAGACTGGAAGGGAATAGCATTCAAGTAGGACATTGGAACATAATGGGGACAGGGTCGACCCCAAAAGTGGCGGAACTGCAGGATGTGGTCTGAGCAGATGCATGCACTCAGGCTCCCTCTCTTCCCCCAGATTCTCCGACCTGTCCTTCTCTCGGCACCTGGGGCAGTGGGTTACACAGCTTTCCATCCAGTTGGGAGAACCGTACCTCTTTTGGGTCAGGCCTCAACATTCTTGGAGCCTTAAACTGTAGTCATAGTTGGTGTCCAAGTGCAGGGAGCTCAGAACAGAGGGGAGGGGGTTTTCCACGGGCAAAATCAGAACTCAGCTCGCTCTAACCCTCCTCACCCCAACTGAGTGGTTTCCCCTGGAAGCAGGAGCCCTGCCTGCATATCTGACCCAGCCGCAGAGAAGGCCCTCGGACGGACGAGCACCAGGGACCACCCGACCGTCTTAGCACAGGCAGCTTCCAGGCCTGTGCAAGGCTCAGCAGCTGGGACAATTAAGAAACGTCCTTAAGGGGAGTATTCCCATGTGTGTGAACATAAGGACTTGCCCTCTTTCAAGGAAACCCAGTCTCAGAGCAGAAGCCCAGCTGGGTGCTTTTCCAAATATTTGTAAAGTTTTGGGTTTTAGAACTACAATGCAAAGCCATTAGAGGGAGTGGCGGACTGCAAGCCCTCACGATGCCCAGAGAAGGTGGTCAAAGGGTGGGCTGTTCCCCACCCACCAACACTACAGGCCAGCCCCCAGCCAGGCCCCCTGAGGCTACTGTCCGTGGAGCCTTGAACTCAAGGCTCAGAGGTCTGAGTAGATGCTCGGAGCCCACGGGGCACAGGGAACGTGGAGTAACTGGGCCCCTAGCTGGGATTCACGGGGTCAGGAAAACAGCAGGGTCCAGGAAGACAATGTTCCCCCAGGACATACGGCCCTTCGACCTGGCGATTGGTGTGTGCATCACAGAGCACATTATAAAGGGGAGAGGAGATTGTCCCCCAGCCCAGCGCCCCTGTGGTACCCAGAGAGCTGGGAAACGGAGGCGTGAGATGCGGCCTCCAGCTGCAGGGGGCAGGGGGGCCAGGGGCTGCTCCCCAGGGGAGTCCTGAGAACCAGGGGGTGGAGCACTTGAGGAATCCCCAGGTGGCCCTCTCTGCTTCGGGCATGCCCTGCCTCCTGTCTCAAGTAAGGAGACAAATGCAGTCAGCCAGACAGACAAGGCCTCCAGTCCAGTGGGCCAGTCTCTGGGGGATACAGCATCATCATATTACAGGGATCTTGAAGGCAAATCGCAAACATAAGTCCTCAAGCCAGGGTTTCTGGACAAAAACCGGTAAAAAAAAAAAAAAAAAAGAAAGTCTCAGCTCAAGGTCATCGACCTGCGATGGGGACGAGGGAGCTGAAGAAGGCACTCCTGGGGGAGCTCTTGGCCCAGCCCTGTATGGAATAGTCCTCCCGGCAGCTGGGCGTCTGGAGCACAGGTCCACCCAGCCATGTCTACACCTGGCTGACGATCTCTCCGTTCTCAGGCACGAAGACTTGCACGGGGCCCCCCTCAGGCGGTCTCCGGAGCACACAGCCCGTGGGCACCTGCCAGGGTCAGGAAGAAAGGAGAGGTCTGTGAGCAAACCAGGTAGAAAGGTCCAGACAGCATGACATGGTCCTTGTCCCTTCGGGATGTTGATCGGCAGCAGCACCAGCCCAGCCACTCGGCCCCTCCCTCCCCCAAAGGTGCTTTGTCCCCCGGGGACCAGCCTTCTTCCATTTTCCACTCCAGCTTTCTTTGGGGTGTGACAGGCACCCTGATCTCCTCCCCCATTCCCGGGCTCCCTTCTCATCACCCTCCCTGTCTGGCAGGTTGGGATGGGCTGGGTCTGGGCCAAGGACAGGCCCCAGCTCGCAGGAGGGAAAAGCGTGTCAGCTGGAGGGTGCGGCCTGGGACTGGGGCCAGGCTGCTGCAGGCCCAGGATGCCAGCTGCGGCCCCAAGAACCAGCGGAGGGCGGGAGGGACCTGCAGCTGGGGATCTCGAGTCTCAAAGCGCAGCCTGTCGGTAACTTCTGGAGCACGCCCCCTGCAGAGCCCTCCGCACCAGGGAGAAAGAATCAAGACTTATGTGTGTCCCCCCTATTTCCAGAAGGGAGGAACTAGGCCATGAAAACCAGGGCAGCCACCCCTCCCTCATGGCAGACTGCTCTCTCCTACAAGCTGTCCCTGGACCTGGTCCCGGGACATAACAATACCCCTTCTCCAGGACGGACCATGAGTTGCTCCAGTTACTGTACAGGTAGCAACTCCCTAAAGGTTCTATGAGATAGGTACCACCTTACTCCCCCCATTGACAGCGGGAGTAACAGAGGCTCCGTGGAGTGCATTACCTTGCCCCATCATATTTCCTATAAGTGGCAGGGCTGACATTTGAACCCAGGAGTGTAATTTCAGGGTCTGGCACTAACCATTATACCACCCTGCTTCTCAGCTGGGCGGTGGGGCCAGGAGTCAGAGAGGAAGTTGACGACAGGCAACCACAGGTTCTGGCTTCTGCAAACACATTCCCTCTGTCCTGGGCCCTCAAGTCAGGAAATGGCGGGGCGGAGGCTGGGGTGGGGGGGGGGTCCTTCAGTTTGGACTCTGATTATGAATTGAGGCTTGTCTGCTTTGTGGATCATCCGCGGAGCCGCAAGAAAAAAAGAGCCTCGTCTCTCTTGGACCACCGCCTCGGCCGTGTCCTGGACATGTGCTCCTGAGCTAGACACGCAGGCAAGACTAGGTGCACCCAGGGGAGTCTAGCACCTTCTAAAGGTGTTTTCGCCTGTCCTTCCTGGCTGGGGATCACCCGGCCCCCAGCCTGCTGGTGTGATGTCTCTCCACGCTTGGACCTGCTGGCGCCGCAGCCCTTCCCAGCTGGCAGGCCGGCTGGCCCTCCCGCGGCCGTACCTGTGGCCGGGGACCCGGGGCGCGCCCCAGGCCCTCTCTCCCGGGCGGCAGGCTGCGCATGCGGAAGGCCCCCTGGCGGTCCAGCGAGTGCGGGCGCGCGCTGCGGAGACGTGCGCGCTCGTGCCACCACCGCAGCTCCTCGGTCACCGCCGCCCTGCTGATCCCCCGGCCGGCCGGGCTGTCCTTGAGCGAGGGCGTCCGCACCAGGCGGCTGCGGGGGGGCACCAGCCACTGGTCATCGCCAGGGCCCCGCACCGCACCGCACAGCTGCCACTCGCCCGGTGGCAGGTGGCTCTGGGCCACCAGCACGTAGCGCGCGGCCGGGACACAGCCGGGGGGCAGCAGCAGCCTGGGCGAGGGGGTGGCCAGCTCCCTGCCGGCCCCCGGGCCCCAGGCCACGCGCAGGCGAGGCGGCTCGGGTGGGGAGAGCGGCCGCAGGAAGGAGATGTCGGGGCTGCTGCTGCCCGGCGAGGTGGGGTGCGAGATGCTGGACACGTCTGAGCCGCTGTCTTCTGAGCAGGAGTGGCAGGCGGGCTGGGGCAGCGGGGGCTTGGTCCGGGGGAAGCAGGAGTCCGGCACAGTCACCGTGTAGTGCGTGGGACGGCGGCGGGGGAAGGCGCTGCGACCCCGGCCCTCGGGACCTGCCCGGAAGGACTCCATCCTGCAGGGGAAGAAAGATGCGCTGAGTCTGGGGGCGCAACTCGGCGCTTAGCGGATGGAGATAAAGAGGTGAGGCAGCCCAGGCTTGCACACAGGCAGGGCCATAGGTCGCACCTCCCCAAAATGGACAGACAGAAGGGAGGGGAGGGCCACCATCTCTCATCCAAGGAGTGAGGCCTCAGGAGAAAGCAACCCTTAATCTCGGACCGCCAGCCTCAGAGGATGGTGAGACAGTCATTTCCGTAATGTATGCCGCCAGTCTGCTTTATTTCCCTATGGCAGACCCCACAAACTCATACAGGGCAGCTGCGGGCAGGCTGGCCCTCCACAGGGCTCCAGCTAGGGCCAGTGGGGGCTGTGTCTGTCCAGACGGGGCACCTTTCATTGACCCCCACAGAGGCGCTGTTTGTAAAATGGCCTGGCGGGACGTAAAATAAAAAATTAATCACTTGACTTGAGAGCAGTTGTCCCAAGCTGCACCAGTTTAGTGCTGCCAGACAAGTGACCCTAAATGACCGAGACCTAGCAGTGCTCTGAGGGTGCCCGGGCTCCTGTGTTGTTCACACTGCCTGTCCTAACCGGTCACTTTAACATCACCAAGCAGCAGCGGGCTCGGAAAGCAACGTACAGTGGATTTTCATTATTCGCGGGTTCTCTGTCTGCAGATTCTCCCGCAGCTAATGTTTCCTGGTAACCTCAACGTCAACCCTCGAGGCCCTTTCGCGATCACTGTGGCCGTGCGTGGAATGGTGGGGAAGCTGAGCTCCCCGACAGGCTTGTTCTCGCTGAGACGGGACAAGGCCACACACTGCCTCCCTGCCTCAAATCTCATTCTGTACACAGATGGCCTTCCGTGGCCTGTTTTGTGTCACGTTTTCCATATTTTTGTGCTTTTTTGGGTGGCTTTGCTGTTTAAAGTGGCCCCTTGGGTAGAACGGAGGTGCCGTGTGGTGTCCTGAGCGCAGGGAGGCTGGGACGTGCCTTACGGGGAAAATATGGGTGCGAGTTCCAGGGCTGTTGGCCGTGAGTTCAGAGTGAATGAGTCAACGATATACACTAAGTCAGGTGTCTTCAACAGAAGCTCACGCAAAACCAGGGTATGTACTGATCAGTTGACAAATGGCATGCCCAGAAGTCCCAGGCACCTAGTGCTATTTCCCCAGGAGCGCCGGCTTGGTATATGCCAATTCCGTGCTGGCGGTGACTTTATAGGACATCAAACAACTGCAAATAATGAGAATCGACTGCACCTTAATGAAAAAAGTGGATTGTCCACCGTCTGTAACCCATGATAAAACAACTGCAAAAGTATCTACAGATCCACGTTCTCTCGCTGTAAGAGCAATGGCAAGAGGCGAAAACTCGAATCTGCTTGTGCAAAAAGGCAAAAATGGAGTCTTTGGAGAAAAACAACTTGCTTCACGAATGACTTGCCTCTGGCTCTGTGGGTTGTGGGGCGGCCTCTATGGGGAGAGGCCCCGAGAAGGGAGGGATCGTCAGGAGAAGCCACGGCACTAGCCATGGGTCCCCCACAGGTGTCCCAGCTCTATCGTAGAAGCCACCGCCCTTCTAAGGGCAGCTCTCAACAGTGGGCCCCCCTCCCCCCGCATCTCGGGGTGCCCTGTTTCTTACCTCAGAGACTGTGAATGGCCCCTCCTCCCCTGCATCTCGGGGGTGGCTGGGGCACTGGTGCGGCCCTGCCGCTGGCTGGGAATGCTGCGGAGGGGGACCATGTGGTAGGTGGCGGGCTCCAGCAGCCATAGGCTGGAGGCACCGGGCCCGTCCTGTGGGGTGGTGGCTGGGCTGCTGTAAAGGATTGGAGACAGGTCAGCGGCAGGAATGCCTCCATTCGGGGGCTCAGGTTGTGCAGAGGAATGGGGCACCATGGAAGGGGACCCCAAAGCTCAACACTCCCACCACCACCAGCTAAGGAGAGTGCTGGCCTCCTGCACCGAGCCCAGCCCTTGGCCACCCCCAGCACGGCTCCCACCGGCTCCCACACTCCCCTCCTCCCCACCCTGACCTGGACTCGCTATTGGATTCAGAAGATTTCCTGTGCTTCTCGTAGGGGTGGTCCAGGCTGGTCTCCTTCCACGGGCTGTTCTGGATCGGGGCCCGCTCCAGGCCCCCAGTCTCAGGTCCTGCTGGCTGCAGCCCCTCGAGGCTCTGGGGTGGGAGAGGCCGGGAAGGCAGAGCCGGGGACTCTGGGGGAGGTTTTGGTGCTTGGGATTCCTCTGCAGGGGTACAAGAAAACTGGTGAGGGCAGCGCCTGGGGTCTGGCCCAGCAAGAGCCCCCACGGCCCAGGCGGCAATCGCGCCCACGGCGGCTTGGCTGGCTGCTCCAGGCCAAGATGCTCAAAAATGTTTTCTTCTCCTTTGAGACTTCCTGCCTCCCTCCCAGCTCTAGTTTGCACCTGCCTCCTGCAAGAAGCCTCCCCAGCTTGACTCTCCTTCGCTCCCACGACTGCGCCTTCTGACCTTTGCTCCTAGGCCGTGTCTGCAGCTGGCCTTCTGTTTACCCATTCTTCTTGTTCCTGCCACACCCCTGTGCGCCGCTTCCTTATTGCCTGGGTGCTGCCCTGGGTGGGACTGCACACCTTCTTGGCCCACCTTGATTCCACCATCCTTAAGGTTTGTAAACAGGGTTCTTAATCTGTGCACTTAGGTTTCCTGCTACCCTCTTTTCCAAAAGGACAATGACCATGGCCAGATGGCTTGGCTGTGACAGGTGCATAGTGACACAGAGCCCAGGGCAAAGGCAGGGACGCCGGGACCCAGAGGCAGTGCTGGAATTCACCTCTCCCTTCCCCGGCAATAGGATGGAGCATCGAGAATGGGACCGTCCGCACATGCCCACCCTCAGCCGAGCCCAGGCAGGGGCATAGGGCACTCAGAAGTGAGTGGCCCCCTGGCTCGACCAGCTCACGAAAGCTCCCTGCTCACTTTAAAGGCCTCACTAGTCAACTCTGCTGGAGCCCCCAGGTCTTGCAGTGGGAGCCCCGCCCTGCTGGCAGACCCTACACGGCGCTCTCACCTTCCTCCAGGAGCAGCCCTTCCGACAGGGAGCTGTCATCGGAGGCACTGAGCTCTGGGAAGGCAAAGGAGAGAGAAGAGATGGAGGTGAGAAAATTCACCGTGGGACTGGGGACCCAGCAGGACCTCGAGGCCCAGCCCTGAGCCCCTCCCTTCTCAATAGCATCCCTTATCAGGAAATACTGTGTGTGAAATACCTTATCTGGCGTGAGTCTATTACTTGGAAGTAGAAAAAAAAGCAGAAGTTAGGAGCGAGGAGATGGGAAATGCTGGCTCTGCCGTTTGCTTTGCAACCTTGAATAAGCCATTTCAATGCTCTGGGCCTCAGTTTCCCCATTTGTCAAAAAAAAGTCAGGGCCTCCTCGGACAGTGGAACGGAAAGGCAAAGAGCCGTTTTGGAAGCCCTTGGGGTGAGAAGAACTGCGATAACTTTTTCTATAGTCTTCTGCCATCATGGATACCACACAGCTCCGGGACCCCAAATCTGAGACGTCCGGGATCTCCGGCCCCAAGAGCAGTGCATCTGAGCTGGGGGCCGTGGGACCAAGTCAAGTTGGGGTCTGGCTGGCTAGGTAAGGAAGGTTCTCCAGTGAGTTACACGGCATGTCACCGGAGGACACGGATTGGGGCATGTCTGCCTGGCACAGCAGCTGCTGTGACCCAGGACATCAGAGGGAACTGACTTGCCATGGCCCCCTCGAGCAGACCGGAACCCGCGGATGTTGACACGATGCCTAACGTGACCTGGGAGGGACCCACAAAGCATTTTGAGCTGTCTGAGACAAAGACGAAGCAATATGAAGGATAGGTAATATTTCTACTGCACCCATGCTTTTCTAAGCACTTTCTGTGCATGAATTCGTGTGATCCTCATCTGTAGCCTGTAAGGTAAATACTGTTATCATTTCCACGGAACGGGAAGCCCAGGCTGAGCGGGGTGGAGTAACGCGCGGCTCGGGTCGATCCGCCACAAGGTGGTTGCGTCAGAATTCACACCCAGACGGTCTGACCAGAGTCTGGCTCTTCCCCACTGCCATTTATCAGCTCTCCGATTAGCTAGCGTCTAATGCACGGGTCATTACCCAGAAAATTCCAAGAGAAGTAAACATTTCCAGCCCTCTTAAAAATCCCTTCTGACACGGATTGAGAAACTGCAGGCCCGTGGGCCAAATCCGGTTAACGGGCTGTTTTTATACATAAAGCTTTATTGCAACCTGCAGCTGTTTATACAACAGCTGGCTGCTTTTGTGCTATGAAGGCAGAGGTCAGGGAGGTGTGACACAGACCGTACGGCCCCCAGCGCCTAAAATGCTTCCTCTTGGTCCTTTACAGGAGTGTGTCCACTTTTGCTCTACAATTTAAATGAAATGCAAACTTGACCAGAGCAGTTCTTAAGCCTCGTAGGGCACGCTAGTCAAGGAGCTGGGCCGCTCGACGAGCCGGCCGGCCACCCTGCACTGGGCTCCCCCCAGCCTTTGCTTTGGGGTTCATTGGAGGAGACGCCCTCTCGTTGGATTCTGGCTCCCTGCCTCTGATCTTTTACAAAGACCTGGAGAATTAAAGAGTCTTACTTTTCACAAATGTCAAGTTGAAGCAACTGTGGGACACTTACTCTCCTGGCCCAGGGATGCGAGTGGGGTGGGGTCATGCATTGTGGTTTGAGTCTGTGGTCTGGGAGAAAGACATCACCCCATCATCGGTAATCTTCACATAAACAAGCAGATCGGGGTTCCACAGGCCAGAGAGGCACAGCTCAAGAGGGGAGTCTGGAGACCCACTGCCTGTGCCTAGGCGGGGGTGGGCAGACCACATCAACGTGCTGGCTGAACACCAGTGGCTCCCGGGGGCTGCTTGCTCACCATCTCGGCCACACTGCCCCTACCCAGCCCGGCTCAGCCCCGCCCGGCTCAGCCCCGCCTGGCCCTCAGTCCAGCAGCGATGCAGAGCGCCCCCAGTGGAGGGGTCACCACAGAGACGAGCCCCACAAGCTCTGAGCATCCTCAAAGGCTGCCCTGTCCACACAACACCGTAGCCACTAGCTGCATGTGGCTATGTTAATTTAAATGAATAGCATTTCAAATGCACTTCCTTGTTCACACCACCAGGCCCATTTCAAATGCTCAACAGCCCCACGTGGCTAGTGGCTACCACATTAGACAGCGTGAATGTAGGGCATGGCCATCATGGCAGAAATTCTCCCAGACGGCGTGCTAAAGGCAGGCGGGGTCAGTCAGCGGCCGCCCTGGGCACACCTGTTCCACTGGGGGGCAGTGCTGGGGGCCTTTCTCCTCAGGCCGCCTCGGTGAGCTGGCTTCACACAGCCCTGCCACCTGCAGCGTACCAGATGATGGCTCCCACCTGGCAGAATGACGTTCCCAAACTGAATAACCCTTCTGTGGGGACCTACGGGACAGGGTGGGGTGTCTTGTTTTTCTTTTGTTGTTTGTTTTGCTTTTTTTTTTTTCTTTTTCATTCAAGACACCTTTCAGCTACTAAGTTTTAATCCCCTTCTACTTCCTTCTTTCAGGGCAGAGGAGTCATGGAACAGGAATTACTTGTCTAGAATGGCCTCCCCCCGAGCTCCCAAAGCAGGACACCGGCGCCCAGGCCCGCAGGCCCTCGTGCAGACGGGGCTGGGCAGTGGAGAGGGCAGGCTCTCTGTCCCGTCTGGAGAGCGAGAGTCAGCCAGCTTCCTTCCCCACAGCTCTGAAGGCAGAACATCTTTTCCATCAGAGCCTCAGAGACCAGGAGGGTCGTCCCGCAGCCAGGCCAGGCCGGAGCCACTCGACCCAGAAACGTCCGGCCACCTGAGCCCGGGTCGGCTCCATCTCCCATATTTACTGGGTCAACTGTCACATGGGGGCACCTCCTCCCTCGTCCTCTCCTGCTGGCTGCCGCAGGTGACTTGGGAGGTGTCTGGTTACACCCTTTCTACCCTAAATTAGAGAGTGTGTGGGCACAGGGACTCCTGAGACAGTCACCTGCCCAAGGCACGGGCCATGGGCCACGGGGACCGGGTGGGGCTCTGGGGCTTCTATACAAGCCTTCCCCTCAGGGAGTGAGGGGAGGGCCACTCAGCAAAAATCCCACTGAGGTGCAGGGGCTGGAACAGGAGCCCACAGGGGTGGGGGAAGCAGACAACTCTCCCAGCCCCGTCCTGCCCCAGGGCCCTCGCCCCCTTCCCTCCTCCAGCTTCCTCCCGAGAGGCCGGGGGGACCGGGAGCCATGGGCAGATGCCCTGGGATCGGAAGGGAGGGCAGCACGTTTGACCTGACCAGCTGAGCTTGGGTCAGGAAAGGGAAAGTCACCCCTAAGCGCTCAGAACTACTTGTTGGCAGGTGACTGGCCTGGAGGCACTGATGTCCACTGGCGGTTGGTCCTGGGCACAGACGGCTCACTGGGGCACCACAGCCACCGGCCTCTGGGATCAGACCAGAGGGCAGAAGGGGAGGGACTCCACTCTGGTTCTAGAAACTTAAGGGATTGTGGGGTGTGGCACTGGTGGTGCCAGATTTCAACCCAAACAGCCGTGGGTGGCTCTGGGCCCCTGAAACAATCCGGTGAGCGGTGGCACATAGCCAGTCGGCCACCCGGCCAGCGGACAGCACACAACTCGGAAACTCAGGCTCACGGAAGCTGCACGCTCGATGACCCCAAAAGCCACCTCCCTGTGGGCCTGGAGGTGGGACAGCAGACCTGGGACACTGCTGTGGGATAAACCTTTGGGATGGGCTCGAGGTCGGCCCGGGGAATGCCTTCTGAACCAGGAGCCTGCCTGTGGGCGGTGGATGCGGAGGAGGATGCAGAAGAAATGTTTTCTAAGGAGATAGGGGACAGGCTCTCAGGGGATAGAGAAGCCCTACTAAGGCCCCTCAGAGCTACAGAGGGTGCAGAGCGGGTGGTGGTGGACCCGGGAAGCGGGTTCCCCAGCTGGAGCAGATTTGGAACGTTAAACGCAGCGTCAGACACCAGGCCATGCTCCCCAAAGGCCACACAGTGTCCCCGTGCCCGCCCCCCCCGGCCCACAACTCCCAGGACGGGGGCTCCGGGGAGCTGCTCACCTCGGCCCAGGGGCAGCGTGGTGGCGGGCGGGGGCCCGCTGTGGCGCCGCCGCTCGCCCAGACAGCGCTCCAGCTCCCGCAGCTTCTTCTCCTCGTGCAGCAGCGCCAGCTTGCGCTGCCGACGGGCCTGCCTGCCGAGGTTCTCCTCCCGGCACAGCCGTCGGGCCGCCTCGGCGATCTGCAGCTGCAGGGCCAGCTCCCTCTCCAGGCTGCTCAGGGGGTCCTGAGGGAGGGAGCGCAATGAGGCGCGGGAGGGCGAGGGGGCCCGGACCCCGTGCCCTGGACCGCAGCCCGAGGCCTGGGAAGCAGACAGCATCCTCAGATGCGGGGCAGAGGGTGGAGCGGTGGGAGTGCCCAGGCGCAAACCTGTTGGCCTGCAAAGCTGGCCCGGGGACCCACCCACCAGCCTGACCACAGAGCCAGAGGGTGGGAACCAGAGTGGGACTTTCCCTCCTGACCCCAAAGGGCTGGGCAGGCGAACCCAGAGGAAACTGCCACCATTCACACGATGGGGAAGGGACGCTGGGGCCGTGCCACCCACGCCGCCTTCCTCCTGTGCTGACAAAGAGGAGGACAGCCCCGGGGGCCAGAGGGATCTGTCTGGACAGCCCAGTGCCTCTCTGGACTGGTGGGTGAGCTCTTAACTGACCCTCTGCCCACCGGGGACCAAACCCAGTGTGCTCCCGGAGTCCCAGCTCTCGGGTCCCTGTGGTGGCACAGCTTCCCCAGGGCCACATGGACTACACGTTCGTAGGTGCCCTGGTCACCTGGAGCCAAGCACCCTTCTGGGGTGGGATGGGGTGGAGTGGAGAAGGCACTGTCTCCAGGAGCTCCCCACTGCAGGCGGCGAGGTCCTGGCACAGGATCAGCCCTTGGGGACGGGGACGGCTTCCTGAAGCCCCTTACCTCTCTGTGCAGGGCCCGCTCGTCCAGTTTGTAGGCTGCTCCGATCCTGCGGCGGACCCTGGGAGCCTTCTCCCCTGGTTTGAGGGGGTACTCTACTGGCAGGGTGCCCGTCAGCTCCTGTGGGGGAGGCAAGGTCAAACCAGGCCCCACGCCACCGGCCCAGCCCTTGGCCACCAAGAGTAGCCTGTCCACCGGGGCCTGCATTGTCTGTGCCCCTCCAGAGGCTCCTACCTGCCTGCACCCCATCCTGTCACCAGGGTTGTCCCCCTGGCATCTTTAGGGTGCCCTCTGCACTCGCTCCCTTTTTCCTTCACACCTCCTTCTGCTCGCCTCCTCTGGGGAGCCAGCCTGACCCAGGTCCCAGTTCCCACATCCTCCGTCTCCTGCTCCCTCTGCAGCTTCTCTCATCCTCCCTTCCCTGTGCCTGCACCCCCACCCGACCAGCTCTCCCCTCCCCCAGCTGCCCAGCACCCAGGTCCAACTCCAGGTACCACACCCCCGTCTGGTTTCCAGAATCTTGTCAGGAACGGAGTTCCCTTCCCGCAGCCCCAACATCCCAAAGCATGGCTCCAGGGCCCCTCAGAGGAACCCCGAGTTCGCGTGTGCGGGTGGGGGCCGCCGAGCTCTCACCGCCTCCCTCAGGCAGAGCCTCCTCAGCTCCTCCAGGCAGGCCTCCAGCCGCTCCTCCAGGGCCCGCTGCTGCTTGCGCACCGCGTGGGTCAGCTCCTTCATCGGGGACACCGGGCTGTCGGGGCCTGGGGGGCACGGGGGCACGCACTTAGGGAAGCCAAGGCCGGGGGGGGGGGGTGAGCATCTCTCAGACACGTCTTGGCCACCCTCGGGGAGCACGCACAGCCTCACGCCTGCCCAGGTTACAGGCCATCCGCGCGGCCTGTGTCATCGCCGAAAATCACATCTCTTGGCTGCCCAGGGTGACAACATGGCAGCTCAGAGGGACAGGCAGGCCCGCCAGTGGCGCAGAGGGCCTTGCGGTCAGAACTCGGTCCGTGCCCTTTCTACCCTCCACCCGCTGCAGTTAACTTCTTCCCCGTCCACTTCTTCCTCCTCCTCCTCCTCCTCTCTGTGTCTTTCACACACACACACACCCATCTTCTCTTGTCCTCTGACAAGTCTAGGCCAGATTAGGCCCACAAACTCGGGCCAACCTGAGACAGGCCCTCTACACTAGCCAGATAAGGTTTTTCAACTTCTTTGTAACCCCTGGGGCCGGAGTTGTACATCGCGGGTACCCGCTACAGATCGGATGGACACTCCAGGCCAGAGCCTTCCAGTATCTACTCTCCGGCCTGCCCCACCCTTCCCCCACTCCATCCTGGGGCGTCTCGGCCTGGCCAGCCCTGGAGCCGGGGACTCACTCAGGGACTCAGGGCTGGGGGCCCAGACGGCGGCATTCCCCAACCACTCACCAGACTGCAGGATGATGCCACTGTCGGTGTCGCTGATCTCATCCTTAGTCTCCATAGTGGATTCCTGGGAGGAGGGGGCGCACAGCAGGGAGGGGTGACGCTGCTCCCAGCCTGAGCCAGGACGTGTAGGTGGCCTGGAGTTTCCCCAGCTTTTAAGAGAACAGTACGAGAAAGGAGCTCAGGAAGGAGATGTTCGAGGCAGGGGCAGAGAACGGAGGACCATGTCTCTGGGGAAGTCTGGCAGCGGCGGGGGGCAGCTGAGAGAGGGCTCTGTGGGCCTCGCCAGCAAACCTGTTCTCGGGGGCCCCTGGCCCTCTGCTGGCCTCCTTCCGAGGGAGGCCTCTAGGCCCAAGGGGGTCCACGGCAGTGTGGCCACAGGAACCACTGGGACCAGGGAGAAGAGCAAAGAGAGAGGCTGAAAAGGAAGGGTCAAGAGAAGGAGGGGACACCCAGGGAGGGAAGAGAAGCAGAAGGGGAGATGGCTGTCCCCACGAGGCAGAATGTCCTCAGCCCCAGAGCCCACGTGGGTCAGGCACTGCAAGAAGGGACTACGCTCTGGGCGCTCGGCCATGGCCCTGCTCTGGCCCCCAAGTCCCACCCTGCACGGGGCATCCATCTGAAGGTGGTGCAGCCCCTCTGTGCCAGCGAGATGCCCACAGCTCTGACACAACTCTCAGGCCGCCAACAATGCCTGGGAGACCCCCCTGGGGAGTCGGCCTGGATCCCTTGTGCTCCATGTCTAGGGGAGACCAGGGGTTGGAGGAGGCGTCAGGGTTGCTGGGAGCTGAAGCTGCCCCAGGACAGGAGGGAGATGGCCCGCACGCCTGCCTCCTTGTCCGCCCAGCAGGCACTGGTCCCTGGAACAGCACCTGCGCCTGCCCCCTCTCTCCTGGGAGCCCACGCCCGGCCAGGGCCCAGCTGGCCGGGGCCAGCAGCTGTTGGCGGGAGTGGAGCAGGGGGAGGACGGGCGGGGCCGGTGGGCCGTCTGGAAGGCCAGCCCAGCCACCTCCTCACTGAGTCAGCCCGTTGAGCAACAGTCCCAAAGTCCTCCAGTTCCTGTCTGGAGCTTATCCTCCCGGGGGCACCGGCAGGGGCTGGCGGCGGTGGGGGGGGGGGGGTGCGGCTGGGGGGGCATGTCCAGCCTCAGGTCAGCAGCAGGGAAGAGAGGCCAGCATGGCACAGCCGAGCACAGGGAGGCAGACAGGGCAAGGGGACGGCTGATGGCCAGGGCCCCGACAGCACAGCTGCCTAAGGAGACTGGAAGAGCAGGACCAACCAGGGGCTGAAACAGACCAACAGAAGCAGCACAGCCTCTCCAAGTGCCACCGGCACAACGACTAAAACATCGCCCTGAGAACAGCGGGTGCCTGCACGGTGGGACTCCAATCCCCAGGGAGGGCTAGAGAAAGGATGGTGGGTGAAACAGAGAACAGTTTCTGCGGGGCCTCTGCAAACCCACCAAAGAGATGGGTGGTATGTCTGGGAGCCCAGAACGGGTCCCCAGGGAGCGTTCCCTCTGCCGGCCAGTCCCTCCCCAGCCCTCCTCCCCCTCACTGACCCCCACCGGGGAGGGAAGGGCCGACAGAGGCTGGCAGCTCCCCCTCCCACCTGCCACCCACCTGCCAGCCCCTGAGCCTCCCTGGAAGCCAGGGGCAGGCCCAGCTAGCCAGGGGGGCTTCTGCTTGGACGAGGGAGGAGGGGCCACGGATGGGAAGGCATTAATTAGTCACACTGGCTAATTAATTATTAACCACGAAGGAGTTGCCTTGGGAAGTTGTGACAACTCGGCCCTGGCCTCTCAGGGGAGAGTGGGGAGTTAGAGGGTCCGAGGGTGGGGCTGGGAGACAGCCCCCCACCGCACGCCCCCTCTCCCCCAGTGCCCACCTGCTCACCGCCAGGGCCAAGGGCAAGGCTCAGGCCTTTGCAGTGCCCACTCCACCCCCGGGCCAACCTGCTGCTCCAGGTGGGACAAAGAGCACAGGCCCGGAAGTCGGGAGCCACAGCCCCTGGGTTCTGTCACCGCGGGTGTTATCCTGAGAAGTCATCTTGCCTCGCTGCCTCCTGACCTCACAGCCACAACCAAGGTGAGCTCCGTCGAAGGCCCCTCCCAGCTGACCTCTCTTGGACCTCGTCAGGCTGGGCAGGAAACCCGCACGGCCGTGGAGTGGACCCCGCTCTGCCCTGCGGAGGCTGCCCTCCACTGTGGGGACCAGCCCCAGGGCCGCAGGCTCAACTCCGCTCCCACCTCCACCCTGGAGGGATGGGTCTGAGCCTCAGTATTTAAGGCGCTGCTTTTAGCCAAAGGCAGTTCGACACAGGAACCCCTCCCTGCCCCGGACCCCAGCCCCAGGCCCCAGGACAGGCCTGAGCAGCAGTCCCCTGGACTGAAAACGTCCCAGAAAAAGGCAGAGGGGGAAAGAAAGAGGACAGAGGGAAAAAGGGGGTCACCAGTGCACGTTCCCTCAGGCCGAGCCACTGGGGACTCTCCTTATCACTAATGTCCCCCGAGGCTGGGTCTGGGGCCTCGCTCACCCCTGCTTCCCTTTCTCCTGTGGAAACAGGCCTGGGAACTACGGCGACGGGCTCCTCATCGGTGCCCCCACCATCCCTGGGCCCCAGACATGAGGAGAGGAGCAGTGATGACAGCCACTGCCTGGGCGCCCCCCACTCCCAGGCCAGCCTGCCCCTCAGCCCCAAAGACGGCTCCAGCCTGCCCTGCCCTCACCTGCTTCTGGGTTTCGGTCCAGGAGTCCCGGAAACAGCCCGTGTTCCCAGGTCAGGGGGCTGAGGGGCGCTGCATGTCGCCTCAGGGGCCCCCAGGCAGTGGGCCAGCCTCCCTGTGCTCTCTACACGCTGGTGGCCGGCTCTCCAGCTCTCCACACTCTGGTGGCCGTCGGTCGGTCGGTCCGTCCCTCCCTCTGGTCCCGCCTGCCCGCCCACCGTCCCTCCCAGGGAAGCAGGTTTCTTGTTAGGACTTGAGTCAGAGGGGAGGAGCAGGTGAGCAAGGCCTTCCCAGAGCCACTCCTGCCTGCCTGCCACGGCAGTGGCCTCGGGCAGCTCCGGGCCTCTGTGCTTCCGGGGGAGCAGGCAGAGAGGGGCTCCCCAGGGAGGACCCCAGAGGAAGGCAACAGGGTCCTGTCTTCAGGGCCTCAAGAGACCCTAGGGCCACGTGCTGGGCTACAAGGCACCCTGACCCTACAGACCTCAGACGGTCTGCCCTCCTGTACCTCAGCTTCCCTTTCCAGAAACCGAGGCCCCCAGAAGCAGGGTGACAGTCCACCATTCATGGGGAATACCAGCCAGAAACTTACAAACTGACAAAGACAGGTCACTGCTCTCCCCACACACTGAAATGGAGACCGCATCAGGTCAAAAACCTCAGGAAAGGCAGCGACCCTGGAACTCCATATGGGGAGGCTCTGGGGTCCCAAAGAAGGCCAGGCTGTTCTCTTCTTATTCCAGACATTCCCCCCACCCCAGATCATCAAGGCCATCAATTATTTATGCCCACACTCTACAGGGCCCATGGAGAAATGGCCTGAACCCCAGTCCTGTGCCCTATTCCAGAGGAGGGCCACTGTGACCCCAGGCTCCAAGCCGGCTCACCAAACACAACTGGATCAGAGACCAAAATGGAACTTACTCCCTACAAAAAATAAGCGCCCATGTCTCCACCGCATCGACCCTCAGGCAAACTGCAAACTGGCTGGAATTCAGCCTATTTCACCAGGGGGAGGCAAGGGGCGAAGCCACCTGTCGCCCATCCCCAGCAGACTGGAAAACAGAGAGAAATGCTGCAGACTGGGGACAGAACCTCTCAAGGCCTCATCCGCCCACCCCCTGCCCCCATCCTCGGATGCTCCCACCCCGCCCCCTCTCCCTGGGGTCCCAGCCCCCCAGCATATCTCTGGACTGCTTCCCTCCCCCAGCCAGAAAGGCCACGCCACCCCCAACCCATCCCCCCACCCCCACCCCCTCAGGGCAGGGATGATGGAGGAAGTTGCTCCTCCTCCATCCAAGCACCTCCTGTGGAGCGGAGAGCTGTGTCACCAACAGGGCTGCCGTCTGCCCCCTCCCCTGCCCCCAGCGACCCCCCAACCGCCCCTACACACATTCCCGGTTCACCTTCACATTGCTATACACGCCCTCTTTCCAAACAATGCCAGCCCAGAGTCCTGCAGCCTGACCACCCCCTTCTCTCCCCACTCTGGGGCTGAGGGGCCCCAACTGGGGACGCCCCCTCCTGTGGTGAGGCGCCCGCCCTCTGCAGGGTCTTCCAAAGACCCAGCAGCACCCCCCCCCCAGTCCTCCGCAAAACAGCCTTCCCCCTCCCCTGGGGGTTTTCACATTCTTCCAATGTCAACTCTGGGTGTAATTGGCACCCTTCCTCCACCTTGCCCATCCCCCAGCTCCAGGTGGGGGGTGATGGAAGCTTCTAGAATCAGTTCATAGCCTATTTTTTAATCATAGAATAAAATCAAGAGGATCACTAAGAGAACCAGTTATACTGAAATACAGCTTTAAAACAAAAACACAGTAATAGATATGCCTCTTTATTGACATTAAACAGGATCTGGCTATGGGTCGTCTCATAGACGGGAGGAGTGTAAACAGGATTTTGTGACAGCTACAACTGCGCGTGACACGAAACCATCTGTGGAGTCTGTTGGCGGCAAAGACACAAGTAGTGCCATGGTTTCCCGCCTTCATAACCGAAGACAATGCTAAAGTTCTCTTAAAGGTTGGTGAAAAGTAAAGATGTGGGGTTTTTTCCCATCTAAGATCATGAACCTCTGAATTCCATCCAAGATGCTCAGGTGCCTACGGACCCAGCTGGTAACCTTCACCCTCAGGGAATTCTCCCATCTCTTGAGTTGCGGGGAATCTGACCGTCTCACTCATTGATCGCGTGGAATTCTCAAAGCCCTCTTGCTCCCTCAAGTTCACACGCTGAGCTCCCCGGCCCAGCAGGATCTGAGGTTTGCAATGGGGCTGGCAAACCAGGTCCCCTAAGTGCCCCACATCTGCAGGACCTCGAGGTCTGCCCTGCCATTCAACTCAACACATCAACAGGCAGGTGACACTCCAGAGGCCAGCTCAGTGCACTTCTCGCAGCCAGTCCGGAAGGGGGGACAGTGGCCCCAGCCCCAAACCCCAGAGCATCAGCACCAAAATCACCAGTTGGTGACAAAGTGGGGTTTCCTTGCATAGCATCAGCGTGCTTGGAATCTGATCTTTGAAAGAAGGAGAAAAATCGGTTCTCTCTGGGGTTTTCAGATCCTAAGGAAAGGCCTGAATCAGAAAATTTCCATCCTCTGTGCCCATCCGCTCTCCAGTCATTTCAGTTCCTTCTTTAAAGTTCCTTCTGTTGCACGAGACTGGAAGTTCTTTCAAGCAAGGGCCTCGTCCTACCAAATCCACATCCCCACCAGCGCCGCCCAAGCGCAGTCCCTAAATGAATTAACGACTCGAGGGTCGGCCGCGGGAGCCCACAGTGGGGAAAAAAGAAGGGGACTACCCGGGCCGCTCCAGAAGGGGCGGGGGGTGGACGTGCTTCCCGGCTGTTTCCTTTCTCCACGCTGCTCCCTCCCCGCTGGGAAAGGTGCTCGCCTCCAGCAAGCGATGGTGGAGAGGGCCGGGACCGGGGACTCCACGCCGCCTGGAATGCGCCCTGAAACCAGACCTCTAGGCTTTCCCTGAAAAGCGCCTTTGTCCGGTCCAGCCCGCTCCCCTCCCCCCGCGCGCCCTCCGCATCCTGGCGGCCCGAGACTTTGCTCCTTTTGTTTGGCTGCCTTCCTGGCTTCCCGGAACCTGGCCGGGGAGCCACAGGCGTGGGGAAGGTCGAAGGAGAGAGGTTGAGGAGTCGCAGACGGGCACTTTGGGTAGCAACCCGCAATTCCCATCCCTTGGTAAATTACCCCATTCCGTGGAGGGCCGCCGCCGCTGAGGCCGAGGCCCGCGGGGTCAGGGGCCCCTTCCTCCCGCTCCCGCGCGCTGCGCCCCCCAAGTCCCCCTTACCTGTCCCATGGAGCTCGGGCGCCGCCCGCCTGCCCGCGCGCCCCCCGGTCCAGCCTCGAGGCTTCAGGACACTGGAGTCCAGCCCACCCTCCCTCTCCCCGAGCTGCCCCCCGGCCTTCCCTCCCCGGAGGTATTTCTTTTAACTTCGGCATTTGCAGCATCCCAAATGTTAAAGATCCCAAGACATCTGTCCCCTGGGGCATACCAAGGCCCGGAGGAGAGAGGGGAAAGACGCAGGAGGGGGTTCGAGAGTCCGGGGCAAGCGTCGGGGCGGGGCCACAGGTTGGGGTGCCGAGGGGCCAGCAGGGGTGGAGGTGAGGTGGGGACCCCGGCTCCAGGGCCCGGGCTGCCCCCCCTCCTCCCGCTTTCGGACGCGCGCGCGGCGGGCCCCCCCGCGCCGCCAGGTTCCGCAGCCCCGGCGGGAGGCGGCTCCATTCCCGGCCGCGCGCCGCCTCTCCTCCGCGCGCTCCGGCCCGGCCGGGGGCCGCTCCGTGCCCGGGGACCCCGGCGCGATCGCGGGAACCGAGGCGCGGGGGCGCCTCGCCGTCCCCTCCCTCGTGCGCACCGCGGCTGGCCGGGCGGGGGTCGCCCCTCCTCCGGCCCCGGCCCACTGCCCTCCTGGGCCCGGCCGCGGAGCTCGGCCGGGAGGGCAGGGAGACGGCCGGTGGTGAGCGCCTCCTGCCGCCTCCCGCGAGCCAGTGCGCCCGTCCGTCCGTCCGTCCGCCCGTCCGTCCACCCATCGCTCGCGCGCACGCCCCTCTTTCATCCGCTCGGCTGACAGTTACTGAGCACCCAGTGCCCAGCACGTGGACCGGGATCCCAGTTCCTTCCCCGAGGACCCTCCAGTCCAGACGAGTCATCAAGCAGCAGGGTCAAGGGAGCGACGGCCAGCACCGGGGCCGGGAGAGGGGCGGCCTGCCCGGCTCCTGGAGGCCCAGCCCTGGGAGCTCGGGAGGAGGAGGAACGCGGGGCGTCCGTGACGGGATGTACAGAAGCCGAGTGGCAGAGGAGCCGCAGGGAATTCGGGTGTGGGAGGAGGACGAGGGAAGGGAACGGAAGATGGAAGAGCCGGGAGGCGGAACTGGCAGGCAGGGGCCTCTCAGGAAGCAGGGCAGCTCTGGGTGGTTGTCCAGGTTGCGCACCACACTGAGAGGGAAGGCTCATGCGTTCTCCAGCCACCCAGCCCCGAGCCTCGGCCAGAGCTGCATCTCCCTCCAGGCGGTGGTTTTTTCTAATTTGTACAAAGGCACGAAATGAACTAAGTCGGCTGAAGAGCCGTGTGGACCAGGTAAGGATTTAAGGGTTTTGTCCTGAAATTGAGGAGAAGCTACTTAGATTAGTCAGATTCTCTAGAGAAACAGAACTAAGAACCAATAGTAGTTATCGTTATCTATCCAGCTATTGAGAGAGAGAGATTTATTTTAGGGAATTTTTTCCTGCTATGGGAAAGGAGGATGACTCCAAAATCTGCAGGCTGGAGACCCAGGGAGCAGCTGCGGTTCAGGTCTGAAGGCAGTCTGCTCCAGAATTCCCTCTCCATCGGAGGAGGTCAGTCTTTTTTTCTGTTAAGCCTTCACCTGATTGGATGCGGCCCACCCCCATCATGGAAAGTAAATCTGCTTTGCTCAGTGTCTACTGTTCCTTTAAGTGTTAATCTTATCTGAAAAACGCCTTCACAGAAACATCTGGAATAACGCTTGGCTGAATATCTAGGTACCATGGGCCTAGGCAAGCTGACGCATAAAATTAACCAATACACTCCCGAAGACCATCAATCCAGGAGAGAACCTGGGCCGACCCATACTCACTTTTGGATCACTTTGGTGTGTGAGCGATTGGAGCGAGGCGAGTTTGGAGACAAGGGAAAGCATGGGCAGAGGGTCATCCAGGCAAGGGGCGAGGGGGCCTGAACTCATGTTGTGGCATTGGGGGAGGGGGGGGCGTGGTCAAGAGCTGTGCAGGAGGTAGACCAGGGCTCACTCTGAGCAGATCGAGTAAGGCCGTGCAGTGAGGGGGAGGGAAGAGTCGGGGGTCCCCAGGTGTCTGACTTGAGAGTCCCGTGTCAGATGCGTCCCCCTGAGGACATTGATGGGAGTGTCCGGCGAGCAGCCCGGCTGGGGCTCTAGGGCACAAGGACGGTTGGAGAAGAGGCCTTGGGAGCCATTACCAGCTGAGCTCCGGGACTGGCTGAGATTCCCTGGGATGGGGGTGCCAAATGAGAAAAGGACCAAGAGGGGAAATTCTGGGAGCATCGACGGGATGGACAGAGGGCAAACTGCCTCTGAAGGTGGGCGTTACTATTGTTACTCATGCCGTGGGGTAGTCTGTTGAAATATTGATTTGTCTTTTCCCCCCTCCTGTTCACCCCTACCTTGTCTGCAGTTGGGGAGCAGAAGCTTCCTGGAAGCCTCAGCCCTGAGCCTACTGAGACTGTGCTGGGCGGGGGTCCTGAGGGGCAAGAGCAAGGACGTAGCTTTTGAGGGCCAGGAGAACAAGGTGGGGTGGACTGTGAACAAGAGAGAAACTAGTGTGTGCGCTGAGCAGCAGGACCCCCGCAGAGCCCCTGGAGGGGGCAAGGCCTCAGCAGCGACCAGAGCCGGGATGTGGGCCCAGCTTTCTCGGTTCAACAGAGTCCAGGCAGCAGGAGCCCCAGGCCACGGGACACCCCTGGGGGCTACAGCCACCAGGCTGTCGGCCTCGCCCTGCTCTCTGGGCCCCATAAGCTGTCAGGACTCTGTACGAGAAAATGGGATTTTTTGCCCTCCCAGCAGGCCCAGGACAGAATCAA